GTGTGCAATGCCATCGGCTTTGAAAAGGGGGATGGAATAATGTGTTTGAGGCACAGGAATGCCAATTTGCGACACACACGACCTATAGTAAATAGAGGGAAGGGAATAGAGGGGAAGGGAGGAAGTGGAAAAAAATAAATTTGTCGCATCAGCCGCATGCTATCAGCAGCAGCAGCAGCGGTAGCATCGAGCCGCATCCCTCGTGTAACAATCGCTTTGTACATTCCGCAGCTCTGCGTTGCATGATGGGATATGCGGTCTGCGCCGCCCCGCTGCTCTGCGGCGGGGACGCTGTGCATCAGCGGGAGGGCCATCTGGACCGAGGGCGGCGGGGCCCCGCAGTGGGGGCTCGATACCTTGATGGTGCCGCCAATACCCCGGGCGGCGGGGCCAGGGCCAGAGCCAGGCGCGGCCACACGGCACGGGGCACACCACCGCAATTCGGTGAACTTCCTCTCTGCGCGACTGCTACCACTGCTCGCTCGCTACCGGGGCTCGCCTGCTCCAGGAAGGAATGCGTTGGCTCGGCGGCATCTGGATCCTAGTTGCGGGAAAATGAAAACCCACTCGTGCCACTGTGATTTGGAATTTGGAACAGCGGCGGCGGCAGCCCGTGCACCTGCCCTCCGCTGCTATGGGTATATACACTAGTATTGAATTCCAGCCCGTATTGTGTGGTTTTGCTTCCGCTATGCCGTTGCTTTTAACCGGACGGGTTATTGCGCTGGAAAAAACAATTTGTGGTGAGTATTCAGCTTCCGGCGAAAGTCACTGTTTGCGGAGACGGTATTGAAGAAAAAAAGGCAGCATTTTGCTGCTGGACTGTACCTACCGCAGTCCGTGGTCTCTTCTCGGGCGGCGGTCCTGGCGCCGGCTCCTCATGGCGCCGTGCGAGTAGGCAACCCGCTTGCACGCCCGCGTTGCGGCACAGCCTAGCGGCAGGTGTACGGCTCGAGCGCGCTCTCCCGTCCGTCCATGTGCTGCATTTCCTTTTGCCGAAAGTGACGACTTCTTTTTCTGCTTTGTGTTTTTCACGCTCATTAATTCATTTTGATCACCGTTATTCGACCCTCCCCCCTCCCCCCCTTCGAAACCCCCGGAATAAATAAAATAAGTTAAAGCAGTGTTATCAGCGGTTATCAGGCTATATCTCACAGCTATGTTCTGCTCCTCATTATTTATAAAATTGATGGATTATTTGTTTCTGTAGCTGCAGATTGTATAAGGGCCCGTGCAAAGCCATATGTATATAACACCGAAATGCCACACATCATGGGCGGCGATGGCACGCCCATAACGAACATTGTTGGCATTTTTACTCACCCTCTCTTCCGCGTCTGTCGATACGGTTCCAGGCAGGAGAGGAGAATTTTTTTATTTTTATTTTTAAATGTGATATAATAATAAGCGGCGAAGTCAGGTGAATGATCGGTAGCCGCACCCGACCATCTAACTGATGGGCGGCCCGGCGCTGGCCATTGCCTCGTCTCTAGGGTTGCGACGGCCGGTAATGTTACCGGTAACGTTACCGGAAAAATTGGTAATTTACGGTAATTTACCAAAAGCTTGGTAACGTTGAAAAAAACGGTAATAATAACCCTACAAAATGAGTTAAAAACTCACTTTTCAGAAGCAAAAGTCACATTTGGAATAGTAAATATGACATAATATCACCTTTAAAGTCACTTTTTAGAGACCAGATAGCAAATTTGTCATTATTCTGAAGTTTAAAAGGCATAGCTTTAGATAACGATTTTTATATGTGTACGTCTGGTAACTATACAACTGATGTTGATGAGAACAAGATGAAAAACACAAATATTCCAACAAGTATAGCTAAGACCGGATTCCGTCACTTTTTAGGCAGTACACACGAATTTCGATCGCCAAGAAATAGTATATTGCCAATTTTTCTGCTTCAAATTGAAATTTTCAAATTTTTCCAAAATTTCCGGTAAATTACGATTTTTACCGTAATTTACGGTAACATTGATTGTTACCGGTAATTTCGCAACCCTACTCGTCTCGTCTTGCAAACCTTTAATAACACTCTGGAGCTCACAATATTCATTTATTTCCTTTCATTACGAGTTATACAGAATGCTGTACGGGAAGAATAGTTGTTTTTATTTTTCACTGAGTATAGCTGCTGTTTTGTTTTGTTTCTCGAGAAAAATGTCAGCGTAGTCGAATAATTCATTGTCATTGCTTGAAAATTTACACCTGTATTTGAAGAGTGCGGTGCGGAGAGGAAGCCTCCGGCGCGCGCAGGTAGCTTGGCTGGCGGCGGCGGCGGCGGGGGTGGCGCACCCCCGAGTCCCCGGGGAGCCCGAGCCGCCCCCACCCTGCTCCGGCCGTCGGGGCCGGCTAATAAATATCTATACATATTAATATGCAGTCGGATGCACGGGCGTGGCCGGCCCCGCCCCCGCCCCGCCTCGCCCCGCCTCCCCGGCAGCAGACGGGACCCGGGTGGCGTGAGGAGGACCTCCGTGTGCTCGCCGCGCGCTCCGCTTTCAATTCATCTCTCAGCGATCGGTCTTTGATAACCCTGGTTGTGAGCGATGACATCCTGCTGCTTCTGCCCCTTCTGCTCCTGCTCCTGCTGCTGCTGCTGCTGCTGATGCTGCTGCTGGCTGCTGCTGATGCTGATGCTTAGGTCGCAGGGTGCGTTACCCTCCGAACCTCCTCCGCGGCCGTCGTTGCAGATCAGCGGGCGCGCGGTCGTATTTACATCAGAAACTGCCCCCCCCGCACCTCGCACCCTGGGCCGTTGCTCGGAGCCACGTGACCACGGCGGGCGGCGACGGCCCGGCTGACCGGTGATTGTTTCCATTTGCAATACAATATGACCCCGGCCCCGTGCAAAGTTAAATTGAATTGTAAAGTTGACTTAGCGCAAGGCGAATATGCCAGTCAGGAGGGTGGGTGGCGTGGCAGCGCGTGGCAAGCTCACCGCCCGGCCCGAACCAGCTCGCTCTCACCCTCACCTTC